ACCCTTCAACATAATTAATTCGTGTTTATTTCTTCCATAGTTTAGACGAACTTAAACTCCCTGTTAGCAAATAATTTTAGTTAACTTAACGACGAACCGTTTAAGTTTAACAACATGTTACAGGACCGGCTCTATAGATTGATTTATCGCACCGCTTGTTTGATTAATATTTTTTTAAAATATACAAAATTCGGCATCAATAGCTAATCATCGAATAATATAAACCTGTCTAGTTTAAATAAATAAAAAAAAGACGGCTCTTTATAAATCAGACTGACTCTAGTAGTTTGCTTTTTATGATCATGTTTCTATTTTTATTAACTAGGACTAATCATATAATATAAAATGCGACATGTTGATTTGAGGTAAGATATTTACATGTGTTACCTCCTATTCGTAACCTCCTATTTGCGTAAGAGAAGTAATTTATAGATAGTTTTATACAATAATAATGTAACGAAAATAGCATGTAGATCGATTTTAGCGAATAAAATAATAAAGTTTTTATTAAAGAAAAATAAAGGAAATAGTTTAATTATATATGATAAAAGAATACAAATAAATGCACAATTACTGCCTCTGCCGGCGCTCTGTAATTGGCCCAAAGAGAAAAGAACTATCTAAAACAAAATGTTCAAATCCTATCGTTAACCAAGAGCAAAACGAAGCTCTTTTATATTATAAATTCCTTTCCATGGCTTTACTACGGCATTCTCTAGAACTTGTGGCTTGGATGACTGAATTACCAATTATTTGATCCCTGATGTCAAAAATGGTCATTTGGACATATATCTTTCATATTGCCAAGGGATCCGTATTGTACTAAAGGTCAATCCTCCAGAATTCAATTTTGACGCAGTCAAAACCCAAGGCTATACGTGGATTACACATATAAATAAAATACTTTGTGTTAATTAATAAAAACCCATCTGATTGGCCGATTAAAAAAAAAAAATATTTAGCCCCTTTTATTTTTATTTTTTTTAAATTAAAAATGTTTCCTATATATTAGAGCCCACGGGTTCGTGCGATGCAAAATTAAAAATTATGCATTTTAAAATTACTACAAATGCAAAAATATAAAATTTCAATTTTATTGATTATTATAATATAAAAAATTGTAAGATAGCGATGATCAGATTTACGTTAATTTTCCTTAAATGGTAAATTAGATTTAGATCACGTGAAAAATGCAAAAAGTGTTAAAAATTGCCTCAATAGTGCGAAAAGTGCGATGCATGTGTTATGCAAAATTATAGTGCATTAATGCGTTATTATGCAAATGCACGAATCCGTGGGCTCTACTATATATCTCATAAACTGATTTTAATAGCAAATGACCATATCAGATATGGTGTCAAAAATTATGCGGCTCTCACAAAAATTTATTAAGTTTGCGAAAATTCAATAATTTGCACACGACCACTCAAACAAAATCAAAACACCAGTGCATCACGCCATAATTGAGTTTCTCTAACTTTTGAAACGACTCTACTAGCGCGTCACGTTCTACATTATTAAGAAAAAATGGAATTCTCGACCTGAAAATAACGGCATCAAGGCAAGGTTTGATAAAAATGATTTGAAATTATTAAAGAGGATGAGGTTATCCCTGATTGCATAGTTACGAAGTTATGCTGTTCATCTATTCTCTTTGCGAACCTGATACTTATATGTTAAATATTGTTTAGTAAAAGACTTCAAAAGAAATATTTTTTCACTGACTGAACTTAAAGATGGTAGCTTTGATATTAAAAATCTTCCAAACTTTACGATGCCAGTGAAATGTCATTTATAAGGATATTGACAACTGTTAAGAAATTAGAAAATAATAAGAACGCGACGCGAATGAGGTTGTGATTGATGGATTTTTATGCCATTTATTATACCAAATTATGAATTTGAGTACAGATACAACGGAGCAATTGTGAGTCTATTTTTGTATCTATTTTGTTTATTTGTTTTTTTGAATTAAAACTAATACGCATAAATTTCTCCATTTATTATTGTTTTTGCGAAATAAAAGATTTTTAAAAACTAATTAACATGACTTCCGAGTATTACCATGGTAATGATGATAGATCTTGTGTGGACGTTCTCTACTAAGATTTTATTATTAACGAACTTTTTGATCCTAGTCTTATTTCTTATTTAAAGAATCGAAGCAGTAAATCGTCTTATCGTGGATTTTTGGACATAATCCTTGATATCATCATTGCTTCGATCCCTTCTACAGACACATGGGAGGTGGAGGGGGAAATTTAAAATTTTTGTTAAAGTGTATTATTAAGCTAATCTTGTGCACATAACCGTAATCAGCCAAGTAATTTAATAATATAAATTTTGATCAAAATTTGGATTTCCCCCTTTTCTACTGACTGCCTCTATATGATGTCCTTGATGACGTGTGGGCTCATCGCTTCCTTAAATTAAAGAATTACAATTGGAACGAGAAATTTTCATTACGTTGAAAAATAAGATTTTTTTTAATATAATGAAGACAACCCCTAGTTGGACTTTGGATACGCTATTGACTTAGAGTCCTTAGACTTAGAGTCCGAGATGAAATTAACTAAAAAATCGAAAAAATGTAAGAACGTGCGGTATAAAATTTTTATTAAGATCTCCAGCAGCACTCACTTTCACAATTTTATAATAGGCCCATTTCCTAGTATCAGAAGTTGGACGACCAACGGAGAGATCAGTCCTGATCAAAAATCTAAGTTTTATTATGCAGACCCTGCAGAAACCAACGCGCAATTGATGGTTAGAATCTTAGAAGGTGAATTTGTGGCACTCCTCGGTCCAAGGGCGTCGGAAAATACAACATCATTGTTTCTAGTAAATACTTTTTCTTTCAATAACGCAAAGCCTAACAAATATGTTAACAACCTTTTTTTTCTTAATTTTTCCATAGCATAGCTTTGCAAAACGTCGAAATTGACACCAGCACATCACGCTTTTGGAATGCTATCGGAAAAAATCTCCAAATATTTAATTATTCTTTATTCGGCGTGATCCATGCTGGGTATGGCCAACCACGTGATTTGATTTGGTCTTGTCATATTTGACCGAAGATCCATATTTATATTAGTCGTTCTGTTAAAAGATTTAGTTGACGATCAATGAGAAATTATATAAGAGATTTCGAACATGGTGGTGAGAGTTACAAAATGTTATGACAGTTTTTATGCATTAACTTTACTAACAATATTTATGTAATAAAACTTGCCATAGCTACGAAATGTCGCGAAGATGCTGAGAAAGAAGCGCTAAGGATTCAGACGCGAATTGAATTGGAATGTTATACACTTAAATAAAACACTTGATGTAACTAAAGATGAAATTTAAGAATCCATATATGGCACCAAGAAACGAGTAAGGAAGAATATGTTATAAAAAAGAATTTCTCGGAAAAATAGCCAACCCAATAATAAAGACATTAAATGGTGATACAAAGGTGATCGTTGATGACTATTTAGTAGTCTCTGTTATGGATTACTAATTGTTATTTTCATTTAGAAGGGGATATTAATAGATTCTAATTATCAAAAAGTATGAAAAATTCCTAATGGATTTGGTTTGGAATTTGCAGTAAAGTTGGCTAAAGATTAAATATTTTATTGCTACAATTTTTTTCATTTTTTTTTTTTTAAAATTTTATCTCATCACGAATAGAAAAATGTTTATAATTGTTAGGATTCAATGAATCGACATGCATTCTAGATGACTTTGATTTTAACGCTTTCAATAAAAAAAATGATTTCATTTACTGATTTAATATATGCAAATAACTCATTCCATGTATAAAATCAAATTTCTCAATCTTTCGTTTTGTGTCACCTACTAAATTCACGAGAGGTGATTAATAATTTTTATTGAATTAATGTGAACGAAAACGTTATTTACGATAGGGCCGAAAGTAGATTAATTTATTATAATGGGTTCCTGGCTCACAATTTAAAAACACTTGCATATTACACTTTTAAAATTCCAAAGTTATTGTCTATATTAAAAAACATGCATCGTCTTTATAATCTAATGGTAACTTTCACAAGAATTTACTAGTGCATTTTATTAATAATGGTGAAATGTAATTTTAGTTATGAAAGGTAATACATATATATACAAATAGATTAATGAACCGACATGCATTCTAAATGATCTTAAGCATTTATCACATCATGTAATACTTCAAAATTTTTGATTGGCCATGAAATCTATTTTTTTGATGCATGTGACATAAATAATGACCTAAAATTGTTCAAAAAATTTGAAAATCTTTTTAACTTATAACAATTTCTGTCAGCAACGATAAAGACGAAGTTATGAAACAGCTTAAAAATAAATTTTTTCAAATGAAAAAAAAACCGCAAGGTAAGTATCATTGAAATTAAACGTTTAAAAATTATTTGGCAGTTGGATGGACCTGAGAAGATATTCTAAAAATTGTCAAAAAAAAAAAAAATTGCAATCCATAAAACAAATTTTGGAAACCTTAATAGATGAATTAGCCGGTAATTCCGTATAATTTTATTAATTACATTCATGATATGTCAATTTTATTCAGTAACATTTTTAAAAATTTTTTTTTAAATTAAATATATTTATGTTAGGTCCAGTTTATAATGCTCCTGATGCCTGTATATTAAACGGTAATGGATTTTCATATTTATCAAATAATTAATTCATCTTTTAAATGACAATACTGATTATACTACTATATTCTATTTTATTCTAATATATATTTGATTTTCATTTAATGATGAATAATACTAGGGAGTGAGTTATCTGTGCTTTTTATTTAATGTAATTTAAGAATAAATATTTTTTTATTAATGTTAAATATGTTCTATTGAATTTAACTATTGTAGTTGGTCGGTTATTTTCAATTATTTAACTTTATTTACTTATTATATTGATTAAATAAATTTAATTAACTTTTTTGGTTTATTTAGATCGTAAGTTATTTTATTTACATAATGAAAACTAAATTTATTATTTTAAAAAACGGTTAATTTATTTAAATTGTAAATAAATTTAAATTTAATATACATATTTTATTTGATTTTTTATTTATTGAAATCATTTAATAATAGAAAGTAAACTGATTTTTTATTTTGATTAATTACTCTTTAATATTACTTATTTTCTTTTAAAAGATTTAGATGGTACGTACGTTATTTTTTTTTTAAAAAATTAAACGATATTTTGAAATAATTTTAAAGCTCAAATTTACTTGTTTTATAGAAACCGATTGTAAGTTTTATTTTATATATGTATATATTTTTTTTACGTATTTTTACTTTAATTTAAATTAAAATATATTTTATTTACTGTAAAAAAAAGTATTTGGCAGTATCGAAGGCTAGTTCCTTTTTGATGTTTTATTTAATTATATTTTTATTGTAATTAAATTTAATTAATATTCTATTTTATATATATTTATTAAATATATAATACAATTAAGTAAGTATTATCAGATTTTTTATTGACTTGTATTTTATATTTAAGATATACTAACAATATAAATTATTATTTAGAAAAATAAGGAATTTGCTCAAATTGTAATACAAAAAATACCGGATATATGTGGTGTAAAAAATGTAATTCTAAACTTTTTCAACAAAATTTTTCTAATTGGACTAGTAAAAATAAATTTATTGACAAATTTATTCAAGAAATTCAATTAAATGCTAAAGATAGAAAACAAGTATTAGAATGGATTCCTTATAATAAATTAGAAAATATTGAATATCTTAGGATTTAGTACCATATATAAAGTTATTTGGTTAGATGGATTTATTAAATATTATTCATATAATAATAAAAATTGGATTAGAAGTAAAGAAGTAGAAGTATCTCTTAAATGTTATGATAAATCATCTAATATAAATGAAGAATATTTAAATGAGGTATGAAATTAATAATTATTTTGAATTTAAATAAATTTTAAATAAATTTTTATTATTTTAGTGGAAATATCATTATGAATGTTTTAATCAATTAAAAATATATTCAAATGAAAATCTTATTCAATTATATGGATTTACTCAAGATCCAAATACATTAAATTATATGATAGTAATGAAATATGCAAAAAATAGTAATTTAAAAAAAAATTTATCAAATATAGTTAAGGATAAATGGATTAACAAATTGTTACAATTATATAATATTATTAGTAGACTTGATAAAATACATCAAAAAATCTTATTCTTTGTGATCATGGCAATATTTTAAACTTAAGAGATAATATTTTATCTATTAGTGATTTAGGATTATGTACACCTATAGAATATTTTCAATCATCTAAAAATAATGATATTTATGATGTTTTACCATTTGTAGCACCTGAAGTTTTAAAAGGTCAATCTTATACTTTTGCTAGTGATATTTATAGCTTTTCCATGATTATGTGGGAATATATATCTGAAGTTCCTCCATTTGATAATGAAGCCTATGATTTTCAACTTAGCTTAGATATTTGCAAAGGTAAACGACCTAAAGATATTGAAAATATACCAAAATTTTATATAGATTTAATGAAAAGATGTTGGGATAATATTCCATCAAAAAGGCCTACTGCATCCGAAATTAAAAAGATTATTGAAAATTGAAAAGAAAATATCATTTATAAAGATTTTAGAAAAGAATCAAATGAGTATATTTTAGATTTTTATAAAGCAGATAAGATATTAAAAAAAATACAAAATAATATTGATAATGATGACAATTTTAAAGAATTTAATTCACAATCATATAAAACAAGTAAATTATTAGATTTTACTGAAAAGTTAAATAAGTTATTAGATAAAGAAATTAAAGATAACATAATTTCAACAGATGAATCAAATGCTATTTTATCTGTATCTGAAATTATTAATAATGAAATTATTGAAAAATATCATTTTAATATAAGTTCAATTATTACTAAAAAAGAAAATATAAATATTTTAAGTAAAAATATAGATGAAATTAATGAAGTTTTAAATACAAATAATTTATATGAAATTCAAAATCAAGAAAAATACATTCGTAATTTTAAATATTATGAATTTAGTAATATGAAAAGAATAGGAGGTGTATTTACAAAAGTTTATCATGCTAATTGGAAATATACAAATAAATTTTGTATATTAAAATCATTCAATTATTTTAATAATAAAATAATTGAAGAAATTATAGATGAGGTATGTATAGCTATTTAATATTTTATAAAAAATTTAAAGTTTTATTAATAATAAAATAATATTTATATTTAATTATAAGTTAAAATTATAACAAAAGATAAAATATCATCCAAATATTATACAATTTTATGGAGTTACAAATATAAAAATTGGTAAATATAAACTATAATATTATTTTATTATTTAATAATCAAAAATTTAAATAATGGTTTAACTTAAATATATTTTATTTTATAAAGATGAATATAGTAGATATACTTTTGTTTTAGAATATGCTGATGGCAATTCATTAAATTCTTATTTAGATAAATATTTTAATAAACTTGATTGGAATGAAAAGTTTAAATTAGCATTTCAACTTGCAAGTGCTGTATCATACTTACATGAAATTAATATAATTCATTGTAATCTGGTAATATGTTAATTTTATAAATTATTTATATAATTTAATTTATAATTTAATTAATCACTATTTTTATATAATTATAGAATACATTAAATATATTTATACATCAAAAGAATATTAAATTATCAAACCTTGGTTTATCAAAAAAAATTAATAGAAAATCAAAAATGATTGGATCTTATATAGATCCAAAAAGTTTAAATGATCAAAATTATTTATTAAATAAAAAGTCTGATGTTTACAGTATTGGAATTTTAATGAAGCAAATTTCAAATGGTTATAAACCAGATTATAATGAAAATAAAATAATAAATGAAAATTTATATATACAAGAAGAAAGAGAAGAAATTACTAAATATATTAGATTATATACAGGTAAATAATATTAATAATATTTAACAAATCTGATTTTATTAAGATTAATATTCTATTTTTTTAGATTGTTTGAATTATGAACCAGATGAACGTCCAAATACGCAGAAAATTGTTAAAATTCTTGATCATTTAAATTCATTTAAAAGTGATATTAAAGTTAATAATTATCAAAATGATAGTCAAAAAGATAATGCAATTAAATGGATAGAAAATGCCTTAGCTAATGAGAAAGTTAAATTAATACCTTTTGATCAATTAGAAAATTCAAAATGTCTTAAAATTGGAGGTTTTGGATGTATTACGAAAGCAAATTGGATTAAAACAGATTGTAATATTGTTTATAAAAGATTAACTAATATAGCATCTATTAAAGGTAATAATTTAGATGCTTTTATTCATGAATTAAAAATCCATTTACAACTTGATTATAGTGATCGAATTATTCGTTGTTTGGGTATTAGTCAAGGTAATATAATAATTATCTATTTTTAATATGAATATGCTTCATTCATTAATAAAAATTATATTTATAGATCATAATACAAACGAATATCTTCTTAACAATGGCGATCTTCAAAATTATCTTGAAAAGAATTTCAAAAGTTTAACTTGGATAAATAAGAAACATTTAGCACTTCAAATCGCCGAAGGATTAAATTATTTACATAATGAAAATATCCTACATAGAGATCTTGTAAGTTTTAGCTTTTTCTTTATTTAATGTTTGTTATTAAATAAATTATTCATTTCTATTTGATTATAGCATTCTAAGAATATCGTTATTCATAATGATAGTGCTAAAATTACGGATTTTGGTATTTCAAAAAATATGAATAATGATACTAGTTCTCATATCGTAAACTTTGGTAGAATTCCATATATAGATCCAAAAAGACTTTTTGATGATAAGTTTCAGTATATTAAAGCTTCCGATATTTATAGTTTTGGTGTATTGATGTGGGAAATTTCTAGTGGAATTCCTCCGTTTAAAGATATTATAGGTGAAAAATTAGAACTTACTCTTGATCTTATTAAGGGAAAACGTGAAGCTACTATAAAGAATACTCCTGAAGATTATGAAAAACTTTATAAACAATGCTGGGATTCAGAACCTGAAAAACGACCAACAATTAAAATAATTTTAGTAAAAATTAAAAAATTTATTATCGAAAATCTTTATCAATCATGTTTAGATTCAAATCCTGAAAAAAAACCGACTATTATAGAAATATTAGAAGTATCTAAAACTATGGGTTTACTGGGCTTACCTTTTGAAGAACTTTTTCAAAAATATTTTGCTGAGATAGAGGAGATAAGCGTTAATGATAATAATATCTCAGCTGAAGGTATGTGCTTTATATAATACATTATTAATTAAGTTTATATTGATAACATTAATTATATACGGTATGCAAAAATAAAAAACCTAAAGGAAATTTCAATTCGATTCCAGAAATGCAAACCGATGAATCAGAGTTCGATAATATTCAGTCAAAAACATATTATGATTTATGTCGTAAGTTATTTAATTTTAATCTTTATGCAGCTTAATATAGAAATATATGTTAACTGATTGGTATTTTATTAATTATATTTTAGTTCCTTAAAATTGTTTTTATACAAATATTAGCAGTATTATCCTATAGTATTTTATTATATACATTATATATGTAAGAATATATTTTATTTATATATTGAATTCATAAATTTTAATCAACGACTCATTTTTAGATTTATATTTATTTATAAAATGTATTTGAATGTCTTAATCCTTTTATTGCTTGAAATGTCCAAGTAAACTTGAGTTTAATAAGTTTTAATGTAAATTAAACCATAGAAATATTGACTTTCGAAACATTTTAGTTTAAAATAAATAATAAACTTAACGATAAATTTATGAATTATAAATATATGAAATCTTTAACATTGATTGACTTAAAGCTTTTAAAACTATATACTAAAAAAAATATATAATTGTAAAAAGATTATATAGTTTTGTATAGCCTGCTAAATACAATACAATATTTGCAAGACTAATACAGTTGAGAGCACGAAGTTTGTTTCAGAAAGCGAAACTTTAAAAAAATTCATAATGATAGTAATTTTATGTCAATACTTTTATGTTAGCTAAGGATTTAATATCGATAAACAGTATTCTCAAAAGTACTGGAAATAATAAATATGATCCATAATTTAGTAAAATACTAACATTTGAAACCTCCCAAAGTAAATATCGATAATAATAACGATTTTGAATCTCAAAATTCGACAAAATCGCAATTTCTAAACTTTAAAATTTATTTATCCTTACTGTAATTTGTTGTTAAAGAGATAGCAGTTACTGTATAATAAATTGATACATTTTTATTTTACATACTTCACAATTACCCCTTAAAAAACTAGTAAAAGATATTTCTTCATAAATTATTATGATACAAATTGAATTTAAGTAAAACCAAGTGTCAAGTATTTATATAATTAAACTTAGGATTTTTGCTAGATATGAAATCCGGTTTTATAAGAAAAATTTTAAAGACATATTTATTAAAAGATTGTGACCAGAGTATTACTAGAGTGATCTTTAATATAAACTTCGCTGATTTATAGATAAAAATTAATTACAAAAGGCAAAATACATAAGTCCAATCGTATTAAAGTACGCTTAGAGGTTGGACCTAGCCCAAAAATCCTTAACCGTTAATAACCGATTAAAAAATTCTTTAACCGGTTAATTCACCGGTTAAATTTAACTCAAGCCGACACTATAAATTTGGCCAAAACTAGCGATATTTTGTAATCACAAAAAAATTTTAATTCTGCCCGAAATTTAAATTTTGGCCAGAGTTAATATTAAATATTTTAACCGGTTAGAAAAAATCTTTAACCGGTTAACATGATAACGTTTTAACCAGTTAATTAACCGGTTAAAATAAGCCTCCAAATATGATACGTCTGAAACAACTTGGCAAGCAACTACCAAGCTGATATGTTATAATATTTAACAATAATATCGATTCCTTAGATTACTGTATATGCCATTAATTTCAACAAATGCTAAAAAGCTGAGAAACAAGCTCTTGGGCTCTCAACAAATAATTTCAATTCCCGAAGATATAAAAAAATGATTAGGTATTTTTAAATATTTAATTTTTTAAAGATACATGGTAAATATTAATTTAGCATACATTGAACCGCTCCTAAATTATCCTCATAATGTGTTAGAAGTTTTAAAATCAATGAAGATACAATATAAATACTTGAAGCATCAAATCGTATGTTTCCATATGAAGACGAGAAAATATTTTGAAATCCATCCATTAAGGATGTATGTAATCCAATATGATGAGTAAAGCCAGTAAGGCTTAGCTTAATCATGAATAAAAAATAATGTAATTAACCTTCCTATAGTTACACTTTACACTTTTACCTCGAAAATTTTATGTTCTCAATAACAATAAATTTCTGAGAAATCTTGCTACAACACAAATCTAAATCATTTCGTAGCCTAAACAATTGGATTAAGGATTGGAATATAAATAATTTTCAAATTGAAAATCAAAAATCGTATTAAAATATTCTATATTTTTAAACATAGAAACTTTATAAAACTATTTTTAAGTGACATTTTTTATTATAATAGTTGTTTCACAACATGTAAGTTGTAAATGACAAGCCATACCCATATGGAGATTTCAATGGGACGGACGAAGCCCATATATTTTATTCTAAATGATCTGATTATTTGTATATAAGGAAGGATGAAACTTATGTTAATTATATGTAAAAAATATATCATATCGTAGTTGGCTTTTGACATATAAAGATAAATTTGTTGCATCACATAGTTGGTAATGTTTGCTTGTAAATTATTTTATTTTCCAGGTGATTAAGCGTCCAAAATCTGTTAAATAAAATACTTTTATTAATTTATGTCATTATTCACTGTATCAGACTATATCAGCAAACATGCTGAATTGTATCTGGACAAAAAAAATGATTTAGATTATGTTTTAATACGTAATAAATATACGTTAGACAACCTTTGACACCCCTTTATTTCATGAGAAAATTTTCATATAAAACCTTGCGCAATGACAAAAATTTACGATGAAACTCTATTACTGTAAATTTGTTATACATAATTACATATTCTAACGAACGTTCCGCTATCCACAATTTATAGAAAAATTGAAAAAATGAAAAAAAAAATGGTTCGTTAAAGCATGCTGGAGGTAATGGTTGTCCTAAAAAAAATCACCGCAAGTGCTTCCCATGCTCTTGGCCAATATTTAAGACACGATACTTCTCTTTCCACAAGAACTTTGGCGAGAAAACTAGAAAATATAGGCATAGAAACTTCATATAGAACTGTCAGAAGGCATCTTTCAAGTGCTGGTTATGTAAAAAGACTATCTAAAGCGACTCCAATGCTAACTGAAGAAACAAATTAAAACGGGTGGATTGGGCACGAAAACATATTAATGACCGATGGAACAAACCATGTTTACCGATGAAACAGCATTCCAGCTTTTCAGAAATACTGTAGAACGTTGGTATAAAACGCTGAATTTTATGTAGAAATACTTCATACACATGCTCCTGAGATGTCTAGGATGCTTGGTGGTGGTTGGCGCTTTAAACAAGACAACGACTCCCAAGCATACATGTCTTCTTGCAAAAGCTTTCTTCCAAGAAAACTTTCCAGTAGACTTAGATTGGCCATCGAATAGCCCCGATTGACAATTTATGGTCAATTTTAAAAAGTAAGGAAGCGGATGCCAACAAATCTTGATGATCTGGAACATTTAGGTTGAGGAATGTCGTTTCTCTTTTTAACAATATACATTTCCGCAAAGCTTAGGATTATGGTACGTAAGCTGATAGGTGCATCAGTAATCGAGTGATCATGGTTTATATTTTTGTCAACACACATGGCTGCCGGATTGCATTTCTCTATTCCGCCTTTCTAGCACACAGTTAATTGCATCGTCTAAAGATTTTCATTAATAACAAAAGCGATGAGAAATACTTTACAGCAGATAAACGAGTATCTATGACCAGATAATACAACAATAATGGGTACGGGAAACAACAAAGGTGCAAAAATCTTAAATGAATACTTCTCTTTCTATGAAAATTTTCAATCTTAATTAGTTATTATTTATCTGTTCTAGAAAGAGAATTATTTTTTAGTAAATATTCGAACTTTTTACATCAAGAGAAAATTATATATTACTTGTTTCAATTTTTAATGTATTTAATTAAGCATACGATCAAGATCCTATAAATTGGGCAATAATTTCATTCTTTGACGTTCTTTCTACAGAATTCAAGTATTTCTCAAATTATGGAAATAGACATCTGTGTCTTAATAAATAATAACGAGATTAATGAATCTTATGTTATATAATTTATGATTGGTATCTTAAATAGGGTATCTATATAAATATTTCGATGAAATATATAAAATAAGGAGTGAATAAGATCAGAACTAAATTTGCGAGACGATATTTGAACATATTATTTTATATTTAAAAAAATCGAGATTTTTATATTAGTTCGAAATATGAATATATTCTGTAAAAAAAGGTGATTATAAGTAATTTGGAGTATATTTATCGTATTTATACTATTATATAGAAGAAAGGCAATGTCAGCTAGGACAATATCTAAAAGTAATGCAAAGTATTTTTGTTACTAAAATAAGTCTACAATTACGTTATAACGAGAGTAGAAATTAACCTAAAAAAGTTTGAAAATACTAGAAAAAGTTAGTTAATCAACTGTTTCGTAATATCTATACACTTTCTTTGATTCCCGTTTTTGCCTACAGTAATTGCTTGATACTAATAATTTATGTTTCAAGTATTTAGAATATAGTAGCATAGTTAAAATTTTATTGTGAAAGACAAAAATATGGTTTTCAGTAAGGTGATATGATGCGATTTATTTAATAAAGTAAATAAAAAATAAGTAATTTATCAAGTACTACCTCGCTTTGTACTTTTAAAGTCAATATTTCTCAAATGATATTAACTAAATATTCGAAAATTGAAAAATAAACTAAAAAAATAAAAAAAAATACTAATATAAGGGAACGTTTCTAGCAAAATCAAGTCATGTATTATAGTAAATCTTATGGTTCGTAAACCTCGAAGCGAAGTTTAGGGTTCTTCCTAGCTTAATATAGGGTGATTTCCCAATATCTATACATTCTCTGATCGTATTCCTGAAATTTCTCTTCGATAAAAAAAAAGTCTATTTTTATTGTATTAAGTTTGGCGGTTTGGTACGAAATCCCGACACTCGAAATCCCGACAGCACATTACCCCGACAGTCGTAATCCCGAATTATCATAATCCGAATCCAATAATCCCGACACTTCATAATCCCGATTGACGAAATCCCGAAATGAAAGTCCCGTAGTAATGAGAATAGAAATTCGTTAAGAAGTTGGGTAAAGTTGATAAGCTTGTTATATAAGTATAATAGCAACTTTGACGATTCTTTTGACATGAAATACAAAGTGCGCGATCAAAACTTTAAGCATCACCGCGTCATAAATATAAATTTTTGTACAAAGAATAAATTCAAATCGGGCAAGTTCAATAAAATTTCATCTGATTAGGATTACGAAGTGTCAGGATTATAAAGTTCGGAATTATGACAATTCGGGGCGTTGACATTACGGGATTACGACTGTCGGGGTAATGTGCTGTCGGGATTTCGAGTGTCGGGATTTCGTACGGATCCCGTTTCAAATTTATTAATAGTTTAGTAATCAAAATTTGCGTATAATTAGCAATTATAGGTTTACCTGGCTCTGTATTTCAAATTTATCAATTAAGACAAAGTAGGTAATAATTTATAGATTAATTAGAATTAATACCATTTTCATGACAAAGGCGCAACCAATTGTTGTACGCTTCTTTGTGTAATCCCTTTAGAAAAAAATATTAATGTTTCGGGCGAAAGAAATATCGCCCCACTTGATCTGTTTCGGATATTTTCAGATATTTAGGACAAATAGAAAGCTCAGTTTCAAATTTAAGGAAATGATTTCGCCTGAAACTATTATATTATATTTCTAAAAATAAAAGGAATATCATTTAAAGCTTTTACAATTATAAGCAAAGCTAGTTCACTAGAATAGAATATATTTCTTTTAACTTTATTGATTTCAAACGCCGATATATTCAAAATGCTTGGGGGCTTAAGCCTGGATTTGTCTATTTGTCTACATTTTCTTACTGTCTCGTGTGATAAAATTTGGTGCCATTACGAACCGAATTTGGGACATCCGAAATGATCGTTTCGGATTAAACGTATTTGGGCCAATCGGCAGTTCGAGTTTCACAAAAATTCGTTAATTTCCTTAAAAGTAAATTTGGCAATTTGCATTGTTTTGCGTTTCAAATTTCAACAATGTTAGTTGATTAATTATATTGTTCGGGAAACTGTTTCATTTTGTATGCTTGAACGATTACACCTCTTTCCATCCATTTAATTAATAAAAATCTTGTAAGCAGTAGAACATAATTCTAGTATATATTGATTATAATGTTGACAGGAAAAGCTGGTAAAGAAAATTTTTTACTTTTGGATACAGAATCAATCAAGGTAAAAATTAATTTTTTGTCAATTTAGTTGGAATCGATTTTGGAACGACATATTCTTGTGTTGGAGTTTGGCTGAATGATAGAGTTGAAATTATTGCCAATGATCAGGGTAATCGTACAACGCCTTCATATGTCGCATTCACCGAAACAGGACGTCTTATCGGTGATGCCGCTAAAAATCAAGTTAATATAAACTCTTATAATACTATGTTTAACGCTAAACGATTAATTGGTCGTAACTTTAACGACCAAGTAGTTCAATCTGATATTAAGGTAAAAGATATATCAATTGTTATATGATACATTTATCATACTCATTCATTTCTTTTTTGTTTTAGAATTGGCCATTTAAAGTAATAGATAAGAATGGAAGGCCATATATTCAAGTAGATTACAAAGGTGAGAAGAAAGATTTCACAGCCGAGGAAATTTGTTCTATGATCTTGGTAAAGATGAAGGAAACTGCAGAAGCTTTTCTTAGTACAAGAGTAATTAATGCAGTAATTTCGTCACCAGCTTACTTTAATGATTCTCAACGTCAAGCTATAAAAGATGCCGGTATGATTGTCGGTTTAAATGTACTTCGTATAACTAATGCACCATCCTTAGCAGCTATTGCTTATGGTTTGGATAAGAAAATTTGTGGTGAAAAAAACGTTCTTATATACGATTTAGGTGGTGGTACTTTTGATGTCTCTCTCCTTGCTATCGAAGAAGGAATTTTTAAAGTAAAAGCCGTAGCTGGTGACACACATCTTGGCGGTGAAGATTTCGATAATCGCCTTGTAAATCATTTCGTACAAAAATTCAACCGAAAATTTAAAAAAGATCTTACAACGAATGCACGTTCTCTCCGTCGACTAAGGACAGCTTGCGAACGAGCAAAGCGTGAACTTTCAGCATCTCCACAAACTTTCATTGAAATTGATTCTCTCTTCGAAGGAATCGATTTCTATACCTCATTAACACGTATAAAATTTGAAGAATTGAATCAAGACTTGTTCATATCTACAATGAAATGTGTTGAAAAAGTACTTCGAGATTCTAAAATAGACAAAAGTGAAATTCATGAAATTGTTCTAGTTGGTGGTTCAACACGAATCCCTAAAATTCAAAAGATTTTGTCTGAGTTCTTCAACGGCAAAGAACCAAACAAATCCGTTAACTTCGATGAAGCCGTAGCATATGGTGCAGCCATACAAGCTGCTATTTTTGCCGGTGATACTTCCGAGAAAACTCAAGATTTACTTTTTTTGGATGTAGCTGCTTTATCTCTTGGTATTGAAACTACCGGCGAAGTCATGACAGCGTTAATTACACGTAATACTACAATACCTACTCAGAAATCCGAAATATTTTCAACATCTTTTGACAATTAACCGGGACTACTTATTCTAGTTTATGAGGGAGAAAGTGCTCGTACTAAGGATAACAATTTACTTGGAAAATTCGAATTGCATGGTATTCCTCCAGCGCCAAGAGGTGTTCCACAAATCGAAATCACCTTTGGTATCGATGCAAACTGTATATTAAGCGCATGTATTTGATATTCAATTATAATAATTATTGTTGTTGTCATATTTATTTATGGTATTAATTTGTAATAACTTTATTTAATTTTAGGTATCTGCTGTTGACAAAACAAGTGGAAGATCTGATAAGATAACGGTCACGAATGACAAAGGTCGATTGTCAATGGAAGAAATCGAATGTATGGGTATGTAAAAATTTTAATAACCAAGTTTTTATGCGATTATCTTTTATAAGCAAAATCTATCTAAGAATAGTTAACGATGCTGAGAAATATCGTGAAGATGATGAGAAACTTGCACAAAGGATACAGGCACGAAATGGATTAGAAAGTTATGCATTTAGCTTACGCAACACACTTGATGTAAGTTTTATTTAACATTTTAATTATCGTATACTGATATTTTAAATCCTATTTATATCTATTCTATAGGACGAGAAATTTCCTATCAATTTACTTAAACATGCAATTCAAGAATCTGTAACATGGCTTGAAAATAACCAAGAGGCTAGTAAGGAGGAATATGATTATGAACAAAGATCACTCGAAAATATAGCAAACCCAATAATGAAGAAACTGTATGATGGTAAGAACACCAGCTTCAATCCCAGTTTTACAGACGGTGTAAGTGAAGGTCGATATAAAAGAATGAGAAAATAATATATACCGTAATAAAATAAATATAAATTATTTTTCTTTAAAATATTGAAAATCGGGACTAATTATTTATTGAACTATTTACGTGAAAATTAAATTAGCTGAATCGAAATTACTAACTACTATATTTCAACTTTATGTTATATTTAATTTAAAAAGTAATGACTAGTCTTTCTGAATTTTACCATAAGTGAAATAAAGTAATTTGTTGATCTAATAAAATTTTATTATCAGAATAATTAAATTATTGCAATAAAATGTCGCTAGTTATTTCATAAACAAGGCAAAGCATAAATACTGCAAATCTTTAAATAATTATATGATAGTTTCTTGAAATATGACTGTGTATAGTTCGGATTCTGTCATTCTGGCCTTTCCAGCCGGAAAAAAAACCTTGTTCAAATTTCTATGAAAGTAATTTGTCAAAAAAGACTTCGTTTAGTTTTTATATATTTCGATAAGATATAATTAGATAAATTCTTTAAGACCTATTACAGAATGCATTAAAGGATGGATTCTTTGTATTTTTTTAAATAAGCCTTTCACTTTTTTCTATTCTTTTAGATTGATAAATACCAACATTCGCCCAAGTTCGTTAAAGTCGTAAAACAATGATATCGTCCTAATAAAATAAACATTTGATATAATTACCTTCAACACGAAATTAGGAGGTAGCAATCGGAAATTAGAGGTTGGAAAATGGTTAAATTTTAACCGCTTAATTAACCGGCTAAGGTTATCTAAAAGATTTTCTTTAACAGGTTAAAATAGTTAATTTAACTTCGGCCGAAATTTAATTTTCGTCCAGAATTAATGTTTTTGTGATTACCTTTTAACTAAAGTTTTGCCGAATATTATAACCAAAAGGTCTTTAATAAATAACTATCGATTTTTGTAACTCAAGCTGAATTATTGCTGAATTATATGACTGAATTGGCTGATGTTTGCCAAAAAAAAGTCTTGTGCTGAAATAATCTCTATTGTTTTTATCAGTGCTTCGAGCCAGTCAGGTTGACCCAGGATATTGTCCCAGGTTAAGTTGATGAGTCGGGTTAGAGTCATAATTTTTAAGACCTGAGCCCAAACTAAAACAACCTGATTCGAGTTATTCGAGTCGCAGAATTATTTTTAAAATATTCTGTTTACGAACGAGTTGGTTAAAATAGTTCGAGCTATCGTAACACGAAGCTACACATTTTTCTCCATTGTCCATAAACCTAACAAGATTCAGTCATCTTTCTAAAAAAGGCACAAACGACGCTCCTTAAAGTAAGACTTCCTGAGATTGGGTAATTGTAGTGCTTTGTATATCATTTTCCTCATGAGATCGTAATTGTCTTTGAACGTTTTTGATATTCGAGATCATTTATGAAATTTAGTATCCTTAGTTTTATTAATGGATTCCATAAATATCCTGACTATTAATAGAGTTGAGGTATAAATTTGCAATAACAAGTAAGTACAATTAATAAATTGCGAGCGAGTTTCACTTTATAAAAATATAACGCCTATTGTTTAACTATTTTATTTATTGATTGGCTCGCGAGTTAAGAATCACTCCCTCGAATCACGATTAATTAGATTCATCATGTTGATGAGTTATGTAAGGTTATTCAATTGGCGTAAAATAAACGTGGTTTTGCGACTTATTTAATACATTTTAATCACAATTTAACAGATATTATATAGCTTTTTTTTTTTGATACTTGCTATTTTTTTCAGCTTAATAATTTTCTGTGTAAACCATTAAAAAAATAACAGTAAATAGATTTTTTATAGCGGATTTATATCTGATATTTTTCGATGATCTTGATGCCAAACTTGTTAAGACATTTATCGCAAGGTTTTATGCTTTATTGATTTGGTCCGAAGCTAAGAATCACACACAATATGTACCGTTTAGCGTCAATATTTAAATAATCAGTGACAAACCTTTCTCAGTATTCAGGAGATTAATTTTATGATCGTCTTTCTTTTAGTCATGAATTAAAAAAGCTATTTGCATAAGATTCTTTATGAAGAATTCGATATGATTTAAGTTTAATTCTGAGATATTTATTTATTCTACTCGCAAAAATCGGGTTGATCTTCACAATACCAAAGAATAAAAGCAAATGAAGTCATAATATTTATTATATATGCCAAAGTTTTAGATGATTTTATCAGATTAATAGTTATCTATAATGTTCATTGAAATTATTGCCGAAGGTGGATTTAGTAAGTTTATAAAGCTGACTACTAAAGATTGAAACCAGCCTAAAAGATCCTTAACCGGTTAATTACCGGGTAAAAAATTTTTAATCGGTTAAATTTAACTTAGGCCGGAACTTAAATTTGGGAGTAGCTATATGCCGACGACAAAATTTCTTGAGTTCATTTATTATTACCTATCATTTTTTTTTCTTGATGAAGGATCAATAGGAAAGGAAAGCATAATTGTTCTTACACTTACAAGAACTTGGCTGCGGCAATATTGGAAATTTGGCTCGATTTTTTGTTGGAATTTTTTTTTAGACCTTTATGATTTTTAAATCTGCGTCAACTATTAAGTTACTAAATATCGGATTAAACAAAGACGAAGATGATATTTTATGATGGAGGCGAAAGGTGATCGATTAAAAAAATTATATTAAACGATAATTAGAACGAAGAAAGGTGCAAAATTCATTAAGTTATTAACAAACAAAATTTAAAAAATAAACCAGATGAGCTTTATTTTCTGAAGAAAAAAAATTGGTTCCAATGATTTCTTATACAGTGCATTAAAAATCATTAAAAAGTTAAATTCAAAAAATTCAAATGAGAATGTATCTTTTTTCAAAGGATGTGCGGTACTATGTATGCATTAAATTGAAAGTAATTAATTAAAATATTTGTGAATTAGTGTTTTTCATTAGGAAACTAGAAAGCCTGATGCGTAATCAACGATCCACAAAACCCGCTACTAGAACATATAGAACATATGATAATAACGGGCGAAATGAAAATTATATGACTATAGTCTTAAGCAAAAGATAAAAAAAATAATTAATAGAAAAAAGAATAAATAAGAAATACTCTCAGCCCGAATTAATTCATCCAGAAAATGGAAAGAGAATTAAAAACTTTGTCGTGCAGTCGCCTAAAAAAAATTAATAAAAAGATTTACAAAAAAAATTTAAAGATATTAAATGGAAAAAAAAATTAGATATTTTATGGAAAATTTCACAAGGGTAATTATTTTTATTTATATATTAATTAGATTATTAAAGATTAGTTTAATAAAATTTGATGACATTTAATTTTTAGACTCCAAATTATTCATAACAAAAACTTTATACATCGAGATTTTCATAGTGGAAACATATTATTAAAGCAATTTGGGAGTTACGAAGAATGGTATATTGGAGATTTAGGATTATCACAACCTGCAAATATTATTCCATTTGACAGTGATTTATATGGTGTTACACCATATATGGCACCTGAATTATTTAAAGGTGCAAATTTTTCAAAGAAATCTGATATTTATTGTCTGGGTATGGTTATGTTGGAATTAACTTCAGGCTGTAAACCTTTTGCTAATGTTAAACATGATATCGATCTAATTTATGCAATTATTGATGGAGGGCGACCTGAAATTACTGAAGATACTCCCGAATGTTTTGCCAATTTAATGAAACGATGTTGGGAATCTGACACCTTAGAAAGACCTTCTATAGCAGAAATTAGTGGAATTGCTGGCCAATGGATGAACACTTTGTTTGAACAATTTGAACAATATGAAGAAAAAAGATTAGAATTAATAAAATCAAAGAAATTGGGTCCTGAATTTACTGGAGCACCTCATCCTAATGCTATTTTTACAAGTAGATCGTTACCTTCACTTTCTAACTCATTATCGATTGATTTGAATACAAGACAAAGTATGAAATATATTCTTTCTTTTATTTTTTATTTAATGCAAAAGATAATTTTATTCAATTTATGATTTTTTATTTCAGATTATATTTCAAGAGAAATGGAATTTGATATAAATAATTTTCAGAGGTATTAAAATATGTTTTAGTTTAATTTATACTAAAGAGAGAAATTAATAATTATTTACAATGAGGATACAACGTTCTCCTAAAAAGCGCAAATTGAAAAATTAAATTTGAAACGCGTGGAAGTTAATCTTTTTGTTACTTACGCATGATTATTATTAAAATAAGAGTCCAGAATTAAAGGATTAAAATCAATTATTTGATATTTATTTCTTGATATTTATTTTAACAACTTAATATTAAAGTTCGTCGAAAAAACATTGGTGGTGGTGGTGTCGTCTTCTATTATATTTATAAAATAAATAAAAAAAATAAATAAATAATGATAAATTAAATTCAAAAAAATTAAAATCACCCAAACTTTCACATTTGCCACGATTTAGTATTCTCTATATCTTATTAACACTAGTTAAAATTACAATCCTAAATTATGTAGACTATTTTTTACTTCTGAAACTGTCGAATAATGAAAATTATGATATGAAGTATCATATGTAATTTATTTGAACATTTAGAGAAAAGTTTTATTTTGCAAATTTATGTTTATAATAAAAAAAGTTATTTATTTTTTACATTCATGCTTTTAATTATTGCTTAATCTATCATAGTAGTTATTATAAAGTAGAATTGTATAAATAACCAATTGTAAATTTTTAAAGTAATATATACTCAGATTTATACTTAAAAAAAAAATGCTTCCTAATTCGTTGAAGACTATTAAAATATGTGATGGTATCGTCCTCATATAATTCATTTTCATTTGCAACCGCATGTATTTTTTTAAAAAAAAAAAAATTCCTGTGTAACAGTATTATTAAAGTTACTTTTAGTTGATCTACATGATAGACATAAAATTAATTCCCACGGATTTTCTTCCGATTTGCATCACGAGGTCTATTTTAGGCGAGAACTTACAGAAAAACAGGTTTCAAAGCGTCATATGGATTATTTTTGGACATTTCATAGATTGATTTTCCTTGATATGAAGCATTTTTTATCCATTAACAAGACCCTATATTTTTGTGAGTTAATTCTATATATTGATTATAATGTTGAGAGGAAAAGCTGGTAAAGAAAATTTTTACTTTTGGATACAGAGTCAATCAAGGTAAAAATTAATTTTTTGTCAATTTAGTTGGAATCGATTTGGGAACGACATATTCCTGTGTTGGTGTTTGGATGAATGATAATAGAGACCAAGAAGTACAATCTGATATGAAGGTAAAAATTATATCAATTGTTATACAATGCATTAATCATCCTCACTTTTTTATTTTTCTTTTAGCACTGGCCATTTAAAGTTATAGATAAGAATGGAAGGCCATATATTCAAGTAGAATTCAAAGGCGAGAAGAAGAATTTCACACTTGAGGAAATTTCTTCTATGATCTTGGTAAAGATGAAGGAAACTGCAGAAGCTTATCTTGGTACAAATGTCAATAATGCCGTAATATCTTCACCAGCTTGCTTTAATAATTCTCAACGTCGATCTATACAAGATGCCGGTATGATCGCTGGGTTAAATGTGCTTCGTATAATTAACGAAACAACCGCGGCAGCTATTGCTTATGGTTTGGATAAATCTTGTGGTGAACGAAACGTTCTTATCTATGATTTAGGTGGTGGTTCTTTTAATGTATCCCTCCTAACTATCGAAGAAGGAATTTTTGAAGTATTGGCCGCTGCTGGCGATCAACAACTTGGCGGTGAAGATTTTGACAATCGAATTGTAAATTATTTCGTACATGAATTTAAACGAAAATTTAAAAAAGATCTTACAACGAATGCACGTGCTCTTCGTCGATTAAGGACAGCTTGTGAACGTGCAAAGCGTGAACTTTCTTCATCATTAAAAACTTCCATAGAAATAGATTCACTGTTTAAGGGTATCGATTTTTATACCTCATTAACACGTACAAAATTTGAAGAATTGAATCAAGCATTGTTCCAATCTACAATGGAATGCGTTGAAAGAGTACTCAAAGATTCTAAAATCGATAAAAGTCAAATTCATGAAATTGTTCTAGTTGGTGGTTCAACGCGTATTCCCAAGATTCAAAAGATGGTATCTGAGTTCTTCAATGATAAAGTACCAAACAAATCTGTTCATCCTGATGAAGCCGTTGCATATGGTGCCGCCATATATGCTGCGATTTTAACTGGTGATACTTATGAAAAATTTCAAGATTTACTTTATCTAGATGTCACTGCTTTATCACTTGGTATTGAAACTAAGGGCGGTACAATGACACCGCTTATTAGGCGTAATACAACTATACCTACTAAAAAATCAGAAATTTTTTCCATAGATGATTTTGAAGATCGATCAGATCAATCAGAATCAGTAATACTTATTCAAGCTTATGAAGGTGAACGTGCCCGCACTAAGGATAACAACTTGCTTGGAAATTTCGAATTATCTGGAATTCTTCCGGCATCAGTTGCTTCACAAATCGAAATTTCTTTTTATATTGATGATAACGGATTTTTAAACGAAGTTATTAGATATTCTTCTACTATTTTATTGTTACCATATTATATAGTTTTTTATTAACTTGAATTAATTGTAGGTATCAGTACATGATAGAACAACCTGTAGACTGAATAGGATGGCCATCACGAACGAACAAAAACGATTGTCAAAGGAAGAAATCGAACGTATGGGTATGTAATCAAATTCAAAAAATTTTTAATGCATTTACTACTAAAGTTTGTGTAATAATAGTTGAAGAAGCTGAGAAATATCGTGAAGAGGATGAGTATGTTGCACAAGGAATACAGTCACGAAATAAATTAGAAAGATATGCATTTAACTTACGTAATACACTTGATGTAGGTTTTGTTTTCATTTTAAATTTATGTATTATAAATATTTTAAATACAAATTATATTTATTCAATAGGACGAGAGGTTTCCTATTAATCTACTTAGGGATGCAATTCAAAAATCTGTTACATGGCTTGAAAATAACCAAGAGGCGAGTAAGGAGGAATATGATTATGAACAAAGATCACTCGAAAAAATAGCCGACCCAATAATATGAATTTTTAACAGTTTCAGTCCAGGTGGCTTCCCTGACAGTGAAGATGGTTATGATTAATTTTCATTTTTAACCAATGAAAATACTAAAGTTGTTTCAATTATGAATAATTACGTAGCGACTATAAAAGTTAGTAACGATTTATAATTTCATTATTAGTTACTTAAACTCATAGTTTGTATGTTTGTTAAAAAAAAAATAATAATTAAATATATTAAATAATATAAAATAAAAGGCATTTACAATTGTAAAAGAACCTATTGTTGCGTTCGGTTCTTTCAAGTTTATATAAACTACAGAAAATAGCAAATTATTATGTTATAGATGCTTTATATTATCAAAAGTTTATGGTCAAATGTAATATTATAAATGATTACAGAAACCTGTGATTTGATAATAGGCGGTTACGTAATCACCATCAAATCACAGCAAATTAGTTTTCATCTCGTGACGACGTGATCAGTGACGATCTAGTAAAAAAATGGTAAGCTTCTGGATAGCCTGCGATTTCGAAATTGTTACGAAGTACAATCTTGATCTTTAAAAAATAGCCTATAACATCGAAAGATAACCGATAAAATCAATTCAA